CCATGAAGTTCAAACACAAGAAGCATAAGTTTTAATTTACTGTAGTATATCTTGTTGGATAACATGAAAGTACTATAGGAAACTGGAAATAATAAATCTTATGTTCATAAATTCGCAGCTTCTACCCCGTGTGGCCCTATGGAAGTTCGATTAGGCTTTTAGAAAGTTCGCCTTTTGCTTCTTTTTCATTTTGTATGTCCTTTCTCTCTCTAAATTTCTCTTAACTATTTTTCTCTCTAACCATGTTTTTCCACTCTAAAAGACTTTCTCTAACCATGCTTCCTCTCTCTAGTTTTTCTTACTCCTTTCTCTCTCTAGCTCTTTTATCTAATAACTCTTATTCCTTTCTCTCTAGCTCTTCTACCTAATAGTGTCCTTTCTCTAAGTTCATTCTCTCTCTAGATCCAGTTCGAAAAATCGGCCACCTTATTGCTTAGGCAGCCGCCTAGGCAAAAAAAAATTAAAAAACAATTTTTCGCCTAGGCACAGTCTGGGCAGGTATTATGCGCCCTGCTTCTGGGCGCCCACCTAGGCACTATTGTCTAGGTGCCCGCCTAGGCACCGCCTCGTGACAACTTGTAGGAGGCAAAAAAAAACCCTCAATGAGGGTAAAAAATTTAATTTTTTCTCCTCAAAACCCTCAATAGAAAATTTATGGCCTATAAGGTGAGAAAAACCCCCAAAAACCACTCTTTTATGATTTATCAAAAATGGATAAATTTTTATTTTTCCGACTTTTTTCCCAAAACGAGACAATAATAGTTCATGGGTGGATTTGGAACTTTTAGTAATTGATTTTGAGAACTTTTTGTGACACAATAGATGAGGTTTGCACAGACATCAATTTGATTTTGATATTTTTAAAATATTATCATATTTGAAAAAGGGTTTTGATTTTATTTTGCTACAACAAATAATGTTATGAATCATGTATTTTTTTTTTTACTTTTTTTTCTTTGAACATTGCTCTAGGTGTACCCTTTGATCGTGTCATTTTTTTTCTCTCTTAATCCTCTATCCAATTAAATGCCCCTTTTCTCTCTTAACCCCTTTTCTCTCTAAATGTGCTATTTATGTAACTCCTTTTCTCTCTCTCTAAATGTGCTATTTATGTAACGCCTTTTTTCTCTCTCTAAATGTGCTATTTATGTAACGCCTTTTTTCTCTCTCTAAATGTGCTATTTATGTAACTCCTTTCTCTTCCTAGCCATGTCCTTTCTCTTGCTAAGTCCTCTCTCCCCTCTTGGGAAACAATGAAGCTCAATCTCTATGAAGCTTTGCTGAACACTACAAAGTATGTCTCTATAGTCGAGAGAAGTGTTATGAAAAACACCAATATGGATTGGAACTACCGTTTATGGATCCGCTGGATAGGTTTTAAAAAGAGCCCAGTCCGATTCCTGCAATATGAACCGATCGATTTAGCCCCATATTTTATTTTTTATTACTCTTTACTTTATCATCAAATTTTTATTTTTTCAATTTATTTTTAATATCTTAGAGGTGGCTCCACAGCCCCCATCCCTACATGAATGGCCCTTTACCTGTCTATGTGGATGACTCTTTACCTACAAGATGGAATGGGTTAAAATCCCATGCCATGTTTTATTATTCTTTGGTTCACAGTTCAAATGGAAAAGTGGTAAGATAAGAAAGGATAGAATCCAAAATGAATCCATTCGAGAAAGTTTAGATGTGGCACCAATAGATAATAAGATAATAGAGAGTAGATTTAAGTAGACTGGTCATGTGTGGTGTTAACCCAATACAACACCTGATAAGAAGTACAAGTTAGTTCGAATAGAAGGATTGAAATTGACAAGGAACAAACCGAACAAGACATGGTTGGAAATAGTACGAAAAGACATGGAGACTTATGATCTCTTTGAAAATATAACTTCAAATAATACAGAATGACAAATCAAAATTTATGTAACCAGTCCCGATTAATTGAAAAAAGACTATGATGATGATAGTTCGCAGCTCTTTACCCACCTCCTTAATGTGGGAAAAATGTTATAATTTTAAAACACAATAAGCTTGAATATTATAAGTCTCTTAAGTTCTTTGTGTATCATGTAAGCGAAATAAAATTTTGAATAAAAACTAGTTTCTTGTTTAAAACTTTAAATAGAACAAAATAACAATTAATTTTATTGTTTTAGGTTGGACATTCACTCCACCCTTCAATAAAACGTAATTTACTTCATTGTCAAAACATATAGAGTAAAACCTACTTTCACTTGTGTAAAAACATCCTTTTCTTTTTACTTTGTTTTTTTTCTTCTTTTTCTTTTCTTTTCCTTTTAATATTTATTTAGCCTCCATAAAGATTATGCACAAAATAAAACCTATTTTTACTTGTGTGTTTTCTTCTTGTTTTTTTTATTTTTTATTTTTCTTTTTCTTTTCAATATAGATTGTGCGCTTAATATTTTTCCTTGTTTTTTTTTTTACTTGCTTTTTTATTTTGTTGTGCTAAAATCTATATATTTTTGGTAAAATAATAAAAAACGATGATATAATACTCTATTTTTTTAAGGGATTATATACAAAATAATCCAATGTGATATTTGATAGCTTGAGTACATTACAAAGTTCAAAAAAATTTCTTTTGAAGTTAGCAGCTACCTAATTTCACATCAATGGTCAAGATTAATTGAAACTATCTTATATCAAAGATAAATGGTTTCATTGGATACTATTCTTTTTTAAAACATAAAAAACTAAAACTCTTAAGAAATTTAAACAATTTGAATAATGTTCAAGGCTGGATTGATCTAAATCAGCCGATCCAGACTGCCAATCCATCGATCTGCCAATCCGGTTTCCGAACGACCAATCTGCTCCCCCATCCAGGTTTTCTACACTGGTTGAGAACTTCCGCAAGCTATAAAACTAAGTATTTTTAGAGGAAAAAGTTTATATAAGGTTGCCACTTAAACATGTAAAATTAAATATGCACCTCAAAAATCCATCGGAAAAGGTTGTTTTAATGTTTAAAACCATCTAATTGATCATCTCGACATCAAAATGTATGAATATGGAAAAAAAAAGATTGAGTCCTAAAAATAGTGTATCTTGCAACATATTATCTAGGCCGTTTATTTCAAGATTTTCATATGTTTATAGATCTACTTGATTTAAACCTTTGTTGGACTTTAAAATTTTATAGGGAAAATTACAAAAAACTCCCCAAAATGAAATTTTTACATACTTTACCCCCACCCAACTTTTTCTAGCAAATACCCCCATACAAAAGTTCATTTTTTTGGATAAAAATACCCTTCCCTCACATAACAAATTATTTTCATTGGAGAGGGCGGTTTGGCAATTATTTTTGCTGGAATGGCCGATCTAGCATTTCATAGTGGCAGTCCGATGATTATTTTTTGCTGGATTGGGCAGTTTGACGTTTTAAATTTGCAGTCCAACTTGAATGAGCAATTCGACATTTTGAAGTAGCCGGCGTTTTGAAATGAGCAATCGAGCATTATACAAGTGTGGTCCGATGTTTCTTTTATTGGGATCCGAAAATGATTTATTACATGAGGGAAGGGTATTTTTATCCAAAAAACATTTTGTATAGGGGTATTAGCGGGAAAACATGATTTTTTGTGGAAAGTTGCTAAGAAACGTTGAGTGGGTAAAGTGCGTAAAAAGTCAATTTTAAGGGGGTTTTGCAATTTTTCCAATTTTATAATGGAAAAAGATTATATAAGGTTGCAACCTTAAAATGTAGAATTATAAATGCACCTCAAAAATCCATCGGAAAAGGTTATTTAATATAGGAAAACCCTCTAACTGATCATCTCGACAACAAGATGTGCGCTTGTGAAAAAAGAAAAGATTTTGAGTCCCAAAAATAGTGCATATTGCAACACATTATCTGAACCGTCCATTTTCAAGATTTGAATATGTTTATAGATCTATTTGAGTTTGACCATTTTTGGAGTTTAAAATTTTATAATTATATATGAAAAAAGAATTTTAGATAATCATAAGAATTTTTTAGAGAAAAATTATATGTTATGATAAAAATTGGAAGTGCGCCTTAATGGGATTGTTTAAGGTTGCAACCTTATAGAAACCACCTTTTTTATAATTAGATATGAAAATAGATTTTCAAATAAGGAAAAAGTTTATATAAGGTTGCAACCTTAACATGTAGAATTACAGATGCACCTTAAAAACCTATAAGAGAATGTTGTTTTAATGTTGAAAAACTCTCTAATTAGAAAAAAAAAAAAAAGAAAAAAGATTGTGAGTCTCAGAAATAATGCATCTTGTAACACATTATCTAGACCGTTCATTTTCAAGATTTTTATATATTTATAGATCTACTTGATTTTGACCATTTTTTAAGTTTAAAATTTTATAATTAGATAATAAAATAGATTTTGAGATAATCCTAAGAATTTTTTTACACCAAAATTACATATTACGATAAAATTTGGATTGTTTAAAGATGCAACCTTATAGAGACCGCACCCTTTCAGACAATCCTAATAGTTTTGTACACCAAAATGATAAAATTTGGAGGTACATCTTGGATTGTTTAAGGTTGCAACCTTTTAGAACTTTCGGATATGAATAATTCAAGTTTCCGACACCCTAGAACTTCCACGTTTCAGTAAAGCCCCCGACACTAACTTAAAATTAACGAGCGAGACTTTCCAAAGGCCGTGTCCACTCTTCTTTAACATAGATGGTGAACATTTTAGATCCTGTTTAATTGAAGTGGCGGAGACCAATCGAGTGGACCAACGGAATTTTCCAAAATCAGAGGACTAGTTACGATAATACAGCACCAAAATTAGGGCCATCTTGATATTTTCCATAATTTGAACAAATACGCTTGAAGCCCTAAACATTTGAGAAAATACCTATAACAAGGAAGAATCCAAAAGATCCACATTTGCCCTAACAAGAACCACCAGCTCCTCATTGTACACTTCAGCATGGATCTAGAGGCTGGGGGGCTCATATTAGATTCCGTGTGCCGCGTGTCAACACCTGATCCAATCAGAAACACATCTCCTATCTCCATTGGATAAGCCCCTTCCATGCTTACAAATCCAATACCCTCTCCCACTGTCAAAAACTGAGAAAGGAAAAACCAGGAGAGAAAAAAGAGAGGAAAAGGTAGTTGCAGAAATGGCCTCTGTTTGTGCATCTTCTTCGACAATCGCTGCTGCGACCATCTCCGCTTCCAGGTAAAAAGACTTCTCTCTCTCACTTTAGATTGTTGGTCTCACTCTATTATACTTTGATCACAGAATTTCATAAAAATTTATTACTCTAGAAGTCTAAAACCTTTGAACTAGTTGTGATACTTTTGACTTCTCACTGAGCATTGCTTCTTGCTTCGAGAGTTTCTTAAAATTTTCTCAATCTAGAACTATTTAATGATCACAGAATTCTCAATCTAAAACTATTCCATAAAATTCTCACTTTTGGATTGTTGGCTCTCAATTGAGTATATATTTGATCACAGAATTCCATAGAAATTTGTTAATCTAGAAGTCTATGGCCTTTCAGTAGTCATGACAACTTTGACTACTCATTCAAAATCCTCTTTTGCTTCAGAGAATTTGATTTTATTTTTTCTCGATTCAAAACTCTTTCAACAGCTTGAGTTCATTCTAGAATACTTTTCTTGTCAAAAACTGTCTGCATTTTCTTGCCCCAAAACCATCAACCACAGTACAATCATAACTCATGGGAACTCACCCCAAGCTTCCCCCTTGAAAAGGAACATCTGAATCTTCTTACTTTAAAAATCTTTGACCATCATAATACATTATCTACTTCCATGTGAATAGAAATTGCATGAAACATCCTCACTTTTGAATCCCTCAATCATGATACTAACCTACACCTACTTGGGTCTCACATCGTACGAAATCTCACCCTATAAGGATCATCTAAAAGTGGGAGACTTTTTCTCTTAGTAGTTTTCACTTGCAAACATTTAAAAAAAGAAAAAGGTTCTCATGTACAAGAAAGTCTCTAAATTTTATTATATTGTCATATGGTTCAGCTCTCAGAAGAATGTTAAAGCTTCCTTCTTGGGAGGAAGGTCACTTAGACAGGGCAAGGTATGGGTTCCTGTCTCCAGGAGATCCCTGACAGTGTCTGCAGCTGTTGCCTCTGAAAGGCCTCTCTGGTTTCCTGGCAGCACCCCTCCTGAATGGCTTGATGGAAGGTGAATTGGTTTTTGAGAGAGAGAGAGAGGGAGAGTTTGCACATAGAGAAAAGGGTTTCTATTCTTTTCATCTGCTATGAGTGATTTCTCGCATTGATGTATTCGATTATTTGAATACAGCCTTCCTGGAGACTTCGGGTTCGATCCTCTTGGGCTTGGTATGTGTTGTATCCATAATGTTATTTATATTTTCTGAAATTTTCTTGATTTTATTAAATATACCTACTCTTATGGACTTCCACCAAATAATTGTGATCACGACTTCATGATAATAGAAAGAGAATCCTCGTTCTTCTAGATGACACTCACTAGGTTCATATTATTTTCTCGCCATGTCTTTTGTACTCCTCATAAGGACTCTGGAACACTAGTTTCTTCATTTAATCACTACAATTTGCTAGTACTAGTACAGTATTACTAATATTAACATTACCATACTACAGAAACATAGTTTACTTTCCTCATCAGATTCAAAGATTAAGTGCAATTCTTGCTTCTGACCACTGCCACTGCTACTGCTCATGTTGCTACCCCTGTTGCTATTACTGCAAGTACCATTATTACCATATATACAAAACTACCATATATACAAAACTGATAGATTTCTTCTTAACAAAACATTGAAGACCAATCCCTAAATTTTCTCTCAAGCTCGCTGGTGGACTTGCAGGTTCTGACCCTGAAAGCCTAAGATGGAACCAACAAGCAGAGCTGGTCCACTGCCGGTGGGCTATGCTTGGTGCTGCAGGCATCTTCATCCCTGAATTCCTTACAAAATTGGGCATTCTCAACACCCCCTCATGGTACACAGCTGGTGAGCAAGAGTACTTCACCGATACCACCACCCTCTTTGTAGTTGAGCTCATATTCATCGGTTGGGCTGAGGGTAGAAGGTGGGCCGATATCATAAAGCCAGGGTGTGTCAATACTGACCCAATCTTCCCTAACAACAAGCTTACGGGCACCGATGTGGGTTACCCAGGTGGCCTATGGTTTGACCCACTTGGTTGGGGATCTGGGTCACCTGAGCAGCTTAAGGAGCTAAGGACTAAGGAGATCAAGAATGGGAGATTGGCTATGTTGGCAGTCATGGGTGCATGGTTCCAAGCCGTCTATACAGGCACTGGACCCATCGATAACCTTTTTGCCCACCTTGCTGACCCTGGCCATGCCACCATCTTCAGTGTGAGTACTCTGTTTGATCATTCTACCTTATGGTTTTCATTTTTGGACCCTTTGACCTGATGTAATTGGGTGTCACACCATTGACTACAAGCCAAGGGACAAATCTCTTTGTGCTTGTCTAGCAAATTTCTTCATAAAAACTTACAAATTTATTATGAACCTATTTGTTTTCACGTGTATGTATGCATCTATGCGTGCATTAGTGCAATTGTGTGATGTGAGACTCATGGATGATTACATGCATGCACATATATGTGTTAGATTATATGAACATGCATGTATCAATAGGTAAGCATGGTTACATTCATATAAGTAACAATGATTGCCTATGCATGAACTTGTATGCACGTGTAAGATCATGTATATATAAATTATGACGGTGTGCATGCATATTACTACCTTTATTGTGACTATTATCTAGTATGCAATAGAAGTTGCAGAGGCATACATGGAGAGGTGTTTATAATTGTGTGCTTTCATGCCCCAGTTGTTTCTTAGGTTATATGCATGTATATATTTGTATGCATGAAAGTCGTGTACATGCATACACGATTGAGTAAATACTAGGCAACCATGATTATCCTATGTATAAATAATACATATGTCTGGGTGTGTAAACATAAGATATAAGTGCACACATGTTTAAGCATTATTCCGCAGTATGCATCTTATTTGCTTCTAGGGCTTTCCCACTATCATATGATATGTAATTACAATGTCCCACACCTAATTATCGAAACTGTGCATTGAATTCACTGCTCAATCTTTAGATATACATGTCTGTAGTTTGTTAGTATCAACATGTGGTTTGGGGATGTCCATGTGCACTAGTGTAGAGGTGTTTGTTTCTCTCTCTCTGGAAGTTCACGTCCATGTGTAGCATGGAAGTACCTCTCTCTCTCTCTCTCTCTCATATGTGCGCGGATGTAGGCATATCATTCTATATGTTTATCTAACAAGGCTTTAACTCCACCAATTTTTCTGTTGTTCAGGCCTTCACCCCTAAGTGAGGAAAGGTACATCGGCTTTGGAGGTATTGCTGGATCAGAAATCAGACATGGCTGTAATATTTTGACTGGATCAGGAGTTGTATTTCTAAGGAGGAGGACTTGTAATGTAATCCTGGATTGGAGTGTATGTATTTATATAATTTGTTTAAGTTCACTGTATCTGTCATAGCAGTTCTGCTCTTAGCATAGTGGTTTGGGCCTCAAACTTCTCGAGGTACATTTGGTAACTAGAAGCAAGGGATTTCCTGAAATCTGGAAGCTAGAACTGTGGATATCTGGAAGTTTTCGAATACCTTCTTGATAATGTCTACAAGTTCTCAACTACAGAACAAGCTCCATGGAAATCTAAGAACGCTTCACGGAGACTAGGCTTCACACACACACACACACCAAACAGGGCACAGTTAGACAGAGAGGACTTGAGGACTTTGAGAGAGAGAGAGAGAGAGAAATGATATAGTAAGAGCAAGGGCACATCTAGAGAGACAGGTTTTATAGAGATAAGGGACACTGTTAGAGAGAGAGGAGAGCTTAGAGAAAAAAGACATGATTAGGAAGAGGAAAAAGAGTAAGAGAGAAATAGCACAGTTGGAGAGACAATGGAGTTAGAAAGAAAAGACACAATTAGAAGACTTAGAGAGAGTGAGAAGATAGTTAAAAAGAGGAATTAATGAAAGAAAGGGCATGATTAGAGAGAAAGGACATGATCAAAGAGAGGATTTAGAGAGAGAAAGGGTGTAATTAAAGAGAGGATTTAGAGAGAGAAAGGGTGTAATTAAAGAGAGGATTTAGAGAGAGAAAGGGCGTAATTAAAGAGAGGATTTAGAGAGAGAAAGGGCATGATTAGAGAGACAATTTAGAGAGTTTTAGAGAGAGAGAGAGAGAAAGAGAAAGAAAGAAGGGGGACATGGCAAACAATACAAAAGACGAGGATTAAAAAGATGAGGTGAACTTCCTAAAATGAGGAATGCAAACTTGGGATTCTAATTCCATGTTCACTAATGCAGAAGTTAAAACAGCAAAAATGGTGAACAGAAATTCCACCCCAAGGACATTTTTTCCCCTAAATATACTAATATTTTAATAGAAAATGCAATTGCTCTCTAATGAAGACAACTTTGGTTAGAACATCTCTCACCATGTGCCTAAGGAAATATAAAACAAAGACAGGGTTCGTATTCAGCCATATAAGGATGTGACATTCCTTCTGACGAGTGAACACCATTAATCAATATGGGTAGATACACAGAATGGGAGCAGAGCTATACAACAAGACCTTAATGCTTGCCTCCCCAAGAAAGTACATATGATACACAACTTACTCAAAATAGCACCGTGACCACAGGATTTAATCCAGATTCCATGCAAGAGTAAAAGAGTTAAAAAAAGACCAGTCGTACTAGTATTTCATCCGAAAATAGACAATAGGAATCTGAAGTTATTCAAACTGTATTACTATTTGTTGCATCTCTGGTTGATGCTTCCTCACCTGCATAATTCTCTAGTCTGAGTAATTGTCTAAGAACTTATACTATCTATTGTAAATTTAAGAAGGAAGCACAGTTTACCTTGATTCCTGCCATTGATAACATTCTATGTGAAGCAATATATGCAGCATCCGAGTTATCCAATTTCTTTTCAATGAAGTAGATGACTTCAGAGACACCTGACTGCAATAAGCAGTTTCCTTTACAATCATGAAGCATGGTTCAGGTCTTTTCCATGTACACAAATAACTAGAAAAGCAGATGTAATGTGAATGTGTTCTCAGGAAAGTGTGTCAGAACATATATAGGGTTGAGAGGTGAAAGGAACTGCAAATTATAAATGATTAATGAAAAGCTACACCGAATTGGCTCATGCTTAATATGTTAAAAACAGAATATGTAACATGCTTCGATAAACTAAAGAAAACAAAGAGATACTAGAAATGAATGACAAGAAGTAGAGAACCAGAACTAATTTGAGTTTATACCATCGAAGTCATGTCAGATAGTAAATATATAGTCCCACAAACCTGAATTATAACCTTGGCACATTCATTGCAAGGGAACATTGTAACATATAGCCTCTGCACAAGCAACAGTTTAATTATAAAAAAAAAAATTACATTACCTGTTCTCGTAGCAAACATAAAAAGTAGATCTAAAGAAAGGATAATACTAATTAATTGGCAATTGAAAGCAAGAAGTGCAATTGTAGTTACCAGTCATCTAACAGATACAGTACCACTTCCCCCTCCCCCCCGAATGACTACATACACTTTCTAAGTTTAATGGGCCATGATTTTTATCTAATCAATCTGTAGTAGAAGATTTGGAAATATAATGATCTAAAATATGAGAAAGAAAGAACAAAGAATCCATGACTAAAACCGAGAAGGCACTACTGGAGCAGGGAATACTGCCATCCCAGTGAGCATCAAATTTACAGAACGTGGCACCTTGTTCCTTAACTTACTGAATAGAAGCCCTTTCAATCCTAGGGAGGTTTGCAACAAGAAATGGGTGCTCTTTATCATTCTTGGAACAATGGAACCCATCATTTATCAGGATTAAAACCATCAGGAAGCCCCTTCAAAGGGGCGCTGATATCCTGGGCCATCACGAAGGTTTGCGAGAAATTTTGGAGATTGAGGACTGATAGAAAGCCAATAATGGAGAAAACTCCCAGCACGCAAGACCATATTTGGAGAAGATAAAGTGGAGATACCCCTAAAACATTATGTGTGGTGATTGAGGACTGCTGCTTGGGTCTTTACAACCAGATTTTCCAAGGAAAGTGAAGGAGTTCTAGGCCAAAATATAAAAGAGGAATGAAGGGGTGGCAGAAAAGAGACCAATTCATGAGAGAGCTGGGTAAAAGGGACGATTGAAGCATCCATGGGGTCTTGAGGTGGAAGATGGAGAGATTACAGGTGTAGTTAAATTCATGAGCAATAAAATGCCCTACATTAGTAACCCAGTCAATTCTGAGAAAATTACACCATAGTCATTCCTCCTAGAAAATTTAGAACAATTCATTATCTCATACATATGGGAATTCCAGTGTTGCAAGCACAAAAATGCATGGGAGCGGGCAGGCAGATCCACCACCACTTAATTAAGAGGGATGTTGTAATCACTTGAAGGGGTGTGATGAGGATCTCAGTAAGATGAAGGGAAAGGATATGAACACTGGCAGAAGTGTTTGTACAATATATTATGCATGTGCATTGTTTTACCAGTATTTTTCTTAAATACGGAAAATAAGTATTTCTCTTTGTGCAATATATAAATATACATTGTTTTACTTGTGTTTTTCACTTTTTCTATTATTACACATTAAAATAATATGATATTTAGTGTTTAAGGTTTAGGGTTTAGAGTTTAAGGTTTACACTGTGAATTGCCGTTCATTTTAATAATTAAATATTACAATATTTCCATAATTGATACTTATACTTCTTTAATTTATTATTTCTTTTTTTCCAACACTTACGATATTTCATTATTTTCCTCATTTACTTAGTTTATATGGCATTTGTCCCGCTATTTTCAATTTTCCGGACCCCCTGCATAATCTATAGTAATTCCAATGACTTTTAGGTACACTTTTCCTTATTTTCATGAATCAATTTGATGTCCTTGGAGCATCATAGTGGGGCTCAATACTGCAACCTAGTAGTGTCCACCATGAAAAGTATTGGATCTTACCTGTCCAGCGGCAGAGGCATGGTTGGTATTCAATATGGCATTAACTTCAGCATGGCATACATAACTGCAAGAAGGGGAAAACACCCAAGCTACAAATCCGTCAATGTTTTCTATAAAATGTAGTATGCAATAAAATAAAATGAAACCTCAAAGTCTTAGGAAACATGCCTAAAAAGAAACATCACTTCAAGCTTCACATTTTCACAATACAGCAATAGGCCTTGATTTCAATTCTTTAGCTATGGGTAGAAATGAACTCTTAGATGGAGCATCTTTAACCCATTTGCCAGTACAAATGAACCATCAGACATGGACAATAGCTGTTTTCATAGTTAAAATTCTATTTCTCAAGCCAAGGGATAATTGTGGTCCTGAAAATTAACATTTAAATTAAAGTGAAAGCAGTAGGTGGCATAACCACATGTTAAGACCTGGTTTACAAATAGAGATAGGAGCATATGAGACAAAATCAAACGCAAATTGCAGCACAAAAAACACTTCATTCCAAAGAGAAAAAATTAACAAATGGAACGAAATCTAAAGAGAGCACAAAAAAAGGCCATGCAAGTATGGGAATTTAGAAAGGTATATCCTTGGACAAGTAGAGGTGGACGTTCCAAAAAATGCGATGCTTATATTGATTGAGATGTTTAAACAAATATTAGACACCAAACAATGACCAGAGCACATCACACTCGGAGCCAAATTCGACTGTGCATTTCATATCATAGAAACACAGGTTTTTATATCATATACTGGGAATGGAACAATTCCAGATGTTTAATCCTATGTTACAATCTACACCAGTCTACACTTAGACCGAATACCCTTGATTCAAGTCTTGAAACATATACATTTGTTTCTAAGAAAGAAAATATACTGACATATGAAAAAAAGGAATAATACTAATGAGCATATCGGCCCGTATACATGAGTTTAAATGCAGGGATACTATTCCTTGAGTCTGCTCCTTCTTCAGAACGGGCTTCAAGTGGATCACAAGCAAAGTAAGATAAACTTCTCTCTCTCTATCTCAGATATGTTTCAGAAGACAATCCTGAAGTGGACTTTCTTCACACACCGTGTACACAATCACTCTCTATCTCTCTCTAAACACAATGATTCAATCTAACAGAGTCTAACCTCTAAAAATTAAGACTGAAGCAAACCCCAAAAATAAGCGAACCCCTTTCTGATCGATAGACGGGCTTATATAAACTTCATCAGTGGATAACCACCAAACTTCAATTGATAATCACAAAAATCTTCAATGTCTAACCATCTGTTAATCCACATCGCTGGTATTAATCTGCATCTTCACGCGTTGATCTTCATGATGGTAATTACGTTGTTTATCTTGATAACTATATGAATTAAAATCAATCTGTATTTCCGCACAAGTGTCTTCTAATGATAATCACATGCTTCAGTTAATGCTCATCTTCAAAATATTCAAATTCAAACACGCATTCAGTGACATTATGCTCTCATGCACAGGGCACTTCCTCGTGATATCTAGGATAGGAAGCTACCTATTAATAATACATAAATCAGATGGAATGCTTATTAGGGCTGGAGAGTATTGATGGAGATCTATTTTTATTTGAAACAGAAAGAGCTCCACAAGAGATCTCCGGGGCTAGGAAAATGTTGGTTGATAATCCCAATAATGGGAATGGGCAGAGATAATTCTCTCGTAGGGGCGGGTTGGCCAAACTCAAAGAAGCCGAATGGGATTGACCTTCAAAATCAAGAATCAGTTATCTCTTTATCGCCCGTTAGTCAATCTTCTGCAACATAGCTCTGGGATGCCTTCGTAATTCCTCAACCGCTTCCTGATGGTAGATCCATTGAACACGAAATTTAGAGAGATGAAAGAGGACTTAGTGACAAACCTAATGGTCCAAGTTTCGCCTTAAATGGATCACAGATGAGAGATATCGTCCGTCCAAGTTACTATGTTTCTACTAGATATTACATCAGCAAAACCAGTGTATTACGGGTGCAACCGCTTCTATCACATGTATCAAACAATGCCACATCTTTTAAGGGTGATAGGGCATCGAGTCAATAATCTAATGGTGCTGGTCCCATGAGAAAAGCCTTCATATCAAGAGAAAAATCTCAATTTTGGTAACTAGGTGTTAACCTAGTTGTAACATACGGAGTATAAAGCTTTTAAGGTTTTAACTGCCGAGGCATACGGATGATGGGTTAAACCACCTCCAAATGATATGAAACTTCAAAGTGAGGGATATCATGCCTCAAATATGATTTCCTATGAGTCTCAGCTCAATCCCAAGAAAACGTTTTGGGGCATCAGTCAAGGCATATCTTGACCATAGTTAGCAGTTTAGTGACTAATCGCCGAATTTTTCAAAAAAAGGGCGAATTTTTGAAAAATGTTCTAAACGCTGTATTTTTTTAAAGTTCGTAAAAAAAACGCGTTTTTTTTCATAATACCGTTAAAAGCGCGTCTTTATGAGGAACCGAAAAAAAGGGACCACAAAAACGGTTTTTTTTTTTTACTTGTAATTTTTTTAGAAACAGAAACAATTGTTTTCCTAATCTATGTAACCTGTAAAAGAACATATTATTTTCACAAAAAAAAATCCGAAAACAGAAATCCCCAATAGATTACGTATTGTTAGGATTTAGGGTTTATGCTATGTTCTTCTTCTTCTTGACAGCCACATTTTCAGATTGAAGGTATGATTTTTTTTTTTTTTCTTTTTAACTTCAACAAGATGCATATATTAGTAGTTATTGTGCAAAGAAAACACTGTTTATATACAAATCATTGTGTAAAGAAAATTATTGTGTAAAAAAGATAATATAGATGCAGAGTAAAGAATCTTTGTGCAGCATGATTTTCTTTAAAGATGCAGAATAAACAAAATTATTGTGTAAAGAACCTTTCTTTTGCCCTCTAGAAACCCCTGTAATTTTTTTTCTCTCTCTACCTCTTCTTTTATGGGGAATTTCAGAGGTACAATTTGTGCCCTTTCTTCTGCCCTGCAAAAACCCCTGTGACTTTTCTCCTCTCTCTACCTCTTCTTTTATGGGGAATTTCAGAGGTGCAATTTGTGCCCTTTCTTCTGCCCTGCAAAAGCCCTTGTGATTTTTCTTCTCTCTTTACCTCTTCTTTTATGGGGAATTTCAGAGGTGCAATCTGTGCCCTTTCTTCTGCCGTGCAAAAACCCTTGTGGTTTTTCTTCTCTCTCAACTTCTTCTTCCATGGGAAATTTCAAAGGTGCGATTAGTGCCCTTTTTCAATACTACTAGCTGAGGTACTGGCTTGCAAAGTTGTCTCTATCCAGCTGGGACTGGACTCTTTCCCTTGCCTGTGGGATTGTTGCCTGCCCTGCTTCACTCTTGCTTTGAATGAACTGCTCTCTCCATTCACTTCAAAGATGAAGGAGTCATTCTGCCTACGAAAAACCCCTGCGATTTTTCTTTTCTCTGCCTCTTCTTTTATGGGGGATGTTTTAGAGAAAGGAAAGATGTGTGAGGAGAGAAAAAGAAATGTATGGTGGAGATGCTATCATGATAGTGAAAATGAAAGTAGGGTGAGATAGCGTGAGATGGAAATGTATTGTAGGGTGAGTACAAAGGGATTTTGGGTGAGTACAAAGGGATTTTAGCTTTGACATAATTTTTATTTTTTAGAATTTCAAAATTTCTAACATTTTGACTTATCCGATTTTTTTGACTCCAATTTTTTGAGCCTAGTCGGATATATTGGCGATAGCTTTACATGAAGTATTTTTGCCACATCCGACTTTTTAAAATAAAAACGATTTTTTCCCGATTTTAAGGTAAGCCGATTTATTAAAAGTCCCCGACTTGCTAACTATGATCTTAACTAACGGTGGATACGGATACCGGATTAAACCAATTCCAACTTTTGTCCAATTTGTATAATTCTTGGACACAGCAGCATATTGAGGCCTCATGATATTTTTAAAGATTTTACATCATTATGACATCACATGACAAGGTATCCTTATTCCCTGTTGATTAAGCCTTATCTCCTTAACTGACGATGAATTAAAAGAGGCATGTCACATCTCATCCAAAACTCCTCCAATATCCAGTGGAGAAGCATATTGATGTCTTAAGAATATATTCGTCTCAAATTGAAACGTCCTCATAATCTCTTATTATAGACCGTAAGTCATGATGTACAAGCATAACTGACGATTGAATCAGGAAAATATATTATCAAACAGCATGAGGTTCCTCCACATATCACATGGATAGGCATATAGGGGGACCTTAGGAATATATGGATCCTAGAACCTGCTCATAATGAGATGGTTTTAATATCTTTTTTTATCAACCATAAGTCAAAAGATGAACATGCTTGACTAACGGGTCATTGGCATCATATCATTATCGGTCGTAAGTCAAAACATATAGGGGCTGACTGACGAGTCAGGACACTAAAGGCATATTGGAGCCTTCATATGATGAATCCTAGATATATGATATCTTTCATATCATATCTTTACATCAAGGGCATATCTCAGGAGGCTTTATCAAGAACCATGCTCATATCTTATCGACCGTCTATTAAGACAATTATCAAGCATGCGTCAAAAACTCCGCATTATATTGACATCTTCAATTTATCAGTCATTCGTCAAAACACCTTTGCTCTCATATTAACATCTTCAGCTTATCAGGCATCTGTTAGAATGTACTTATTCTCATATGGTGACTAAGGAGCATATTGAACATCCAAGGTATATCTTCAAGGGCTAAGCTTATCCAACTTACACGTATCTTTTATCCATTGCTCGTTAAGACTTTATCCAGCATTCATTAGAACCCTTGTCTTATAATTCCCTCAATATATCGAGCGTTTGTCAAAATGTATCTAGTCCTGTATATGAATAAAAATATACCCAATAAGAGAATGTACAAATAAAGCTAAAATTATTTTCTATATTTTTTACTAAGTTAATAAAAATAAGCTAAAAGAATTTTTGCTAAGCTAAGTTTCTACGTTTATGCTTGGGTATATGGAGCATAATCTTGCTGGACTTGCAGCTAATCCTGGTCTGAAGTTCACTGAGCCACAGATTAAATGTTAGATGGAGCAATTGCTATGTGGGCTCGAACATTGCCCATAGCCGTGGTGTTCTTCACTGGAAAATCAAGGATCGAATCTTCTGACTGAAGCCAGTAGAAGGTGTTCAATTGGCAACCACCTTCCATACTGATCAGAAACAACCACTAACAAATCAGGTAGTAACAGTGTGGCCATCTGAGCTTTTAGTTGGTGTTACAGAGTATGGGGTTGACTGTGAACCTATTGAGCAATAGCTGCATCCATGCCGAATTGCTAGCAAGCAAGCCCATCATGCCAGGCCAATAGAGCTAAACTTCACAAAAATTTCATTGCCAAAGTCTATGTTGTAAATACAAAATGTTAACCAGCAAAACAATAGCAAACCATAAGATCCTGCACAATTTCTCCAAAAGCAAACACAAATAAGGCTTAGAAACAATGCCAAAATACAAGCCCAAGAGTATCATCACCAAGAGCCAAATAAGGCTAGTTTCTCCATGGAAGTCTCCAACTTGAAAAGAAAACAAGCTTGAAGCCCCTTCACATTTTCCTGAGCTATAGAATACAACCAGAACATCTAATTGCATGGTCCAATGGGTTAAGAGGGAAAAAACTCATTGATATCAAATAGTAATAGTTAATGCAAATAAATTTAAGCAGAATGTGTCATAAATACATCAATTGAAATTTAAAATGTTAAATGGGATAATATCAAATAGTAATAGTTAATGCAAATAAATTTCAGCAGAATGTGTCATAAATACATCAATTGCAATTTAAAATGTTAAATGGCAAGTATATTGCCTGCTTGTAATCCTGAGAAGAAACTCGCTGCAAAGGAAGGCCCTCATTCCATTACTTGGATGAACCCAATTTGATTCCCTTTTTTTCTCCAAGTGCCCATTAAGATGTTAAGACTGGGAGAATAAATTTTTCTCATTGAGTAAAATAATGGAGCCTTCTAGCTTATATTCAAGAAATGCCAGATAAAAGGACACTATTCAGCCCAAGGTTACTATCAACTACAAAGAATTAAGAATACAAGAGAAAGAAAAAGCAAGACTTTCTATACAACTATAATATTTTACCATGGCGTACATAATCTAGCACACCCATAGTCTATCAAATGTTAATAAGAATTATGGCCATTACTGATCAAGTCAGCAATCTACGACTCTGCTATGGGAACATGACAAAAGAGTAATGGGTCTGCTGATGAGCTTCTCCTAAATAAAAAAGCTATCAACCCATTCAAAAAATACTACCAAAAGAGAAATATGGAAAATGAAGCAGTATGAAGCTTAACTTACGGATATTTCGTTTGTAGAGGATCCCCAGTTAAAGATTTCTGAAATAGAATTAGAAAAAACAATGATGCATTAGTCTAGACAGAGAAGTAATAAACATGTAAGCCCTGCAATTGGAATTACCTTGGCCCATGGAAGCTTGTCATCTGAACAGCCCCTTGGGAATCCATTATACCCTATACCTGCCATGAGAAAAACATAAATCAGATCATGACAAATACCAAATATGCCTATCAAATTAGAGATTCCCGGATCTCAAAATGGCCTTATCAACATTCATCTAAATTGGAAGTGGATCTCCCAAGAATGATGTGAAGCCGCTCATGGAGTTGTGGCACCTAAATATGCGAGCTATGTAAATCAACATCTCATGACAAAACTACATTTTGTGTTCTCTCAACTTATAGAATTGTTTAATGATAATAAGAATTCAATATTGCCTGCAATCCTATTTTCCATGAATGGATTGAAAAGCAATGAGATTGACTGGCATATTGTAAGAAAATAGGTCGTTAAAAGGATAAGTCAAACAACTTACATAAGAGTGAAATATCTGCAAACAGATTTGCATAACACCAGTCACACTTTTATTACAGTATAACACTCTTATTATATACAAATCATGTATATAATAAGATAGTGAACAAGGAGATAGTATACAATGTGAGTCCCCACAACTTATGAGGTTTAGAGTTAATGCTAGGCAAAGTTCATAAAAGGGAGAATGGGGTAGAGTTCTTAACTTGGTTAAAATTAAGGTTGTAGATTATGTAAATTTAAGGTTACAAGACATTTAAAATGCATGTTTCATATATCTACATATTTTAACTATATTTTTCAAAAAGCACATCTACAGTGACAAATCAGTGACCCACTTTTTTACACGCAAGGATTGGAAGCATAGCTGTCTTGCTTCCAGTAATGATAAAATCACTGGGAGAGAAAGTGCCACATGGTACAAGTTTCATGCAATAATCGATAAGTAATCAATCGATATCCTACCATACCCAGATAATCAACTAACTTTCCAATTAAACAACTACCACCAAGATCAACACCTTCCAACAGATTTCACTCCAAATCGCCATTCTAGAAGAGCATATGCATTAACAGTAAATTGAATAAAAAATGTAAAGACATGGTGCAAAGCTATTGCATCCACCAATATAATGATATCCATGTTACCGAGTATTATTCCGCTTTGGCTAACCAAACAAGCTCCAACCTGCACACATGGCTATTACAGAAATCAAAATTCCCGTGATTAGCATTAAAAGCTTATAACACAGAATGTATAAAACAAATAAACATTACAGGATTATTAAGAGAAGTTCAATGGAAGCAGACCATATTTTTCCATACTCTCGCAATCGTTTATCAAATAAGTTAGGCACATACTTCAAGGGACCAAAAACAAAAAATGATGAGAAACAAAACTATTTGAAAAGGTTTATGAGTATGCAACTATGAAATCATATAAAAAACCGACTAATAAAGATGATTCAAGAAACGCTTTTAAAATAATAGGACTATGTAAAATGCAAAACTCCCTATATTAAACTCTATTTTACAGTGCAATGAAAGAATTCATAGGAACTAGGTAAACTGCATACTCAGGATATCTGGAATCATTAAATCTTAGAAGCTGTTGATATGAAGAGTAAATCATTCTTAATATCAGTTTGGTGAATAGGCCAACCATGTGGGTGGCAACAAGAAAACCATACATATTGTCATGTCGAATGGCTGCAATATTCTTTGGGCTTTATGAGGTATCCATTAGAAATGCTGAATGTCTCAATATAAGCACCCCATTGTATCTAAGAATAAAAGCTTTGCAGGAAGGCTAATTATTACAGCCATCATAATGAATAAGAAATAGATAAAGAAGGGCTTGCTTTAATAACAAATTCTATACAAGTATATCGGATGTTCCAATATCTTACTTTGACAAATGAATATCTGTGCTTGTAAGCACCAATTTAACCACATCAAGATGCTGCTAAATATACAAGAGGATATAAGATGAATTCTTCCAAATGGATTACTCTACTCTATTTGTAAATCGCTGAACTGACCTTCTTCACAATTTAATTGTGTGAATTACAGTTATGATAGGTTCATATTTTCTGCATTGCATACTTTTAAGCAGTTGATTCATATAACTGAAAAAGCAAGTTGTAGAAGTAATAATCCAGGTTGATCACAATGATAGAAAAATTACGACAAAGGAATGAAGGCCACACTGCCACAGTGCAGTTGAATTCTCAGTTATGTTCTCATTTTAGTAAGATTTCGAGTTCCCAATTCTGTTGCATGCCATAAGGTACATAATCACAATTACTAGGTTGAGAGATCGAACTCCACCCTTGTCCAGAAAAAAAGAAATTCCTATTTGTGGTGTCCTTTACATTACATTCATACCTGAAGGCTTTTCTTTTCTTTTTTTTCTTTTTTTTTTTTTAGAATGTTGACCTTATTTCATACCTGAAGTTAAGAACATAATTTAAAAAGAAAGCCGAATCAAACTGCAGATATGTCCACCAAGGCAAAAACTTGGGATAAATATCATTAATCCTTGCCAAGCTTTGAATGCATATACATTAACAACATGAATCCTCACCAATCTTGAATGCATAGGAGTTAGAAGCATCAGGATGTGAACATTGATATTCTAAACATTCTTGAGATTGACTTTGATGAAAGGGTTGTTTGAGTGTGATAACCAATATGAAAGTTTGTGAAACAACTGATAGGCATATGGAGTTCCGGTGTTATAAAAATCACCCAAGCCTGCTCGGAACTGGTGGGGTACCGATCCAGGTCCTAGACGTCCCGTTTTGCCCCTCCACAGATCTGTCTAGGTTTAAAGACTTATATGAATAGTTATAATTAAATAAGCCCCACTTCCATTTCACTAATTTGGGGAACTAAAATATCAAAAGGTAAACTCGCCTGCCTATTTGGATCCTTTGAACGCTTGGCCGACAAAAAGGCAATAGCCATGAAATAATCATCCCATGACAAATACCTGGAAAATGAGAGAGAGATGAGAGAGAGAGAGAGAGTAAATCAAGATACATGGGAATCATGAATACGTTGAAAGCTTCTCTATTAGACAACTAAACCAAATAAAGCTATCAATTCACTATGTGAATTTGTTAAGAAAATCAAATGTGTTCCCTATTCAACCAAACCATCAGTTCACAATACAAATTGAACAAGAAAGATTATCCAAACAACATTAACGCAACCAAATGCAGCGGTAGTGTCTAAATCATAGTTTTTTGGAATCAGGAATGTAATCCAGATTGGAAGCAGGAGATCGCGAAAGTCCATAAAACCCTTAGGGAAAGGACCTTCATCCACTGAATGCATCTTCTGGGATCTCAATCCTACCTTTGGGAATTGCGTAAGAAAGTAAAACTGAATTATTTAATTTCACAATTTCCAATGAGAACTAGAATTAAACATCGCAAGCTTATGAAATAGAACAATTTTAAGACTATACGTTTACTAATTAATTTTGATAATATTAAAGAGCCCAATCTTGAAAGTTCAAAGGGTTGGCAATGCCCCTAACCATTTAGGTTCTGAAAGTGGAGATCAGAGATCCAAAAAAAACTAAAATCAAGATCAATCTCCCCGTGTGCCAGAACAAAACTCTGGACTGAGCGAGGCCGATAACAATGGCCTAAATTTTCCCAATTGTATTAAAATAGACTTTGCAATATAAAGGACAGCATAGAGAGAGAGAACTTCTAGCTGTAAACATATCCATCTAGCAAAATAGGGATGTTTAGGGAAGAAGGGAAATGGGAGAACATTTTGATACAATGTGAGAGACTAACCCTTTGCGCTTGGACGGATCGAAGGGGCTCTGCTTAGGACCATCTTTAACGTCATTAAAGGAGGAAGTTGAGAGCTTTCTTGACTTGGAAAAGAAGTGAAAGGCGAACGCAGAGGCAATGCCGCCGGCTATCGCAGCTACTGAGACGAGAGTGACCTCTCTGGACTTCATTTTTGCTATTATCTAATAAAGCAAAAAAAGCCTAGAGCTTTGGCCCTCTCCTCCATTTGTTATGAGCTTTCAGAAAGAGGATGAAAAAGCGGGAAAATCCACTTTTAAAAAGCCGAGTACAGATGATGCCGTCCGGCTCCACCCTAATCGCAGGTGCGTTTTAAATTTCAGTGGGTTTCGGAAAATTTCGGCTGTAATGACGAAACGAAGTGAAATTAAAAAACTACTGCGGCCTGGTTATATTGAGAAGATCATGATTAATGAAGTTTGTGAAATTTACGCAAGTCCTAACTTCATTTTGGAAATTTAAAAGGAAAATGGTTTAACAGGGCTGCAGCATTATCAAAATAAGTAAATCTCCACTTCATAATTCATCCAAAATTGCAAGTCAAAGCATTGGAAAACCTTTACATGGATCATCTCGACATGAAATTATGAAAACCTTTACATCGATGATCTCCACATGAAATTATGGTTATGAAAAAAAAATTAAGATTTCAAACTCGAAAAATAATGTATAGTATAATATATTATCTAGACCGTCTATTTTGCTTTAAAAATAAGTGTTTACAGATTCGTATGGTCTATATTATTTTTTTAGTTTCAAATTTTATTGTCGGTGTTAGAAATTGATTTTAGAGCCCTTGTAGAGATTTTCGCTGCAAAAAGTACTTTTTAGACAAGGATTTGAGGTGAGGCTTTATTCTTAGAAATTTCACACATTCATCCTATTTTTGTCTCTCCGCTTCATCTCTTCTACCTCCCATCCCTTTTCTGTTGTTTTCTCTCGCCGCTTTTCACCTTTTATCAATATCTTTTCCTTAGCTTCCGGCCGCTTTCCCTTCTTTCGACTCTCTTATACCATTAGTAGGTTAACATCTAAGACAGGATTTCCCCTCTTTTTGAGGTTTAACATCATATCAGGTATTTTCTCAGGTATTGGGTGCTTGCCTTGATGGCTTTGAATAGAGTGAATTTAACTAATTAGGTTGACGCCTAAGGTGGAGCTTGACCGGCCTAGTGGACCCTGTGGTTTTGTATGTTCCTTGTTGATGGCTTGAAATTTCTGCGAGTGGTCAGATACATTCTTTGGGGGATCGTTAGAGGTGGATTCTTCATCTCCCCCTTGTTCTGATCCCTCTTCTCCTCACTCACTTTTGTTCATTTGCTTGATAGTCTCCCATTTTCTCTCTCTCTCTCTCTCACTTCTCCTTTGACCTACCATGCTATTTTTGTTATTCTTTTGGGCACCGTTTCGGCGTTGGTTGTGTGCCGACGCAACCCTGGTATGCGAGGTCTAGACAAACAAGAATGTGTAGGGGAGTTGAGGTTCTATGGTGGATGTCTTTAGAAGTGCTTTTTATGGTCTAGTAATAGTTGTCTGAAGCTGTAGGTGAGGTAGGAGCCTTCCAAAGTGAGGGTTCTGTTGTATTTGGAAGTTTTAGTAGGTCATCCCCGGTAGAAGCGATTGTACTCTTCTTTTCTTTATTTACTATTATACTTATGGAGTTTTGCTTCTTTTTATAATAAAATTTCTAGTTAACATTAAAACAAAAATCCATCTCCATTAATCATTTTGAACCCAACGGAATATGGTTTTCCATCATTCATTAGATCATGGCATGCTTTTCCTTCATAAAAATATGCTGGAAATTTTTTAAAATTTTGTTTGTTAGAGATATTTCAAAACAATTTGAAAAGAGATTTTGTTTTCAGGCACATCAATTCATTATCTCAAAATAATATTTACCCCCAACTGATACTATTCACTGTACATAAGTTCTCAAGATAAATTTGTCCTGATATTTGAAAACAGAAGATCACACGCTTAATCTCCTTTGATCAATGCATGGGAGAGGCAGAAAATGTATGATAGCTTGTAAACAGAAATGTTTTGGGAGTCGAAAGAACTCCTAGTGTCCATTCAATGCCCTGTGAACGTTTTCATTTTGAAGCATTTTGAACCATCACGTCTCTTCGTTGTTTTAACAGCCATTAACCATTTATCAGTTACAATGGTCCAAAATAAAGAGCCGTGCACCAATCCAATGTTTTCATTTTCATATTTAAACATCACTTTTATATTTCCAATCCAATGATGTCATATTCACTTCGGAGTCCTCTTCAATTTGTTAAGAAAAAGGAAACAATTCGATAATTCGGTTCTTCGGCCTATTCGGGGGAAGATTTCAAACTTTTTCTTTAATTTAATATAAATAAATTAGATATTTATATATAAAATATATATAAAAAATTTTTTTAAAAAAATACTTTTACATAGCTATTTCTTTGTTAGCAAAAACAGACCCGAATCTAACTGAAACAACCTGACGCGGCTTGAACCTACCCGAAGCGGCAGCATCAGGCTTCGCTTCGCTTTAGTTTATGCCTCAAATCCAAAAGCTTCAGCCGAAACGAATGGAATTTAATAACACTGCTCCTATCTCCAATGAAGACTAGAAACCCACTACTTCTCTCTTATGTTAAGTACTTTCTTTGTTTTATTTTTTTGGGGGTTACTCAATGGGGGAGAAGACCGCCTACCCGGATTTTCATTAATCAAAAAGGAAGTACAGCTCTATAATAGCGCAGTTGTGCCGATTACACTTCTCAAAGACGGGTTTTCTAACATCATCTTGAAATAACACTTACTACTTTTCTTTTTTCAAAGCAAATATACTACATTTTCAAGATTTACGTAATGCAAAAAATATATCTGAATCAACATGCCTTACTTCCATCAAGTTATTCAATAACAAATGCTTTGTTTGCATAAATAAAACAAGAAACCAAAATAGATAAAACCAGACTTATAATACAAGAAACTTAGTATGATGCTTATGCTTGAATATTGGGGTGTATCTAAGGAAATAAATTGACCCTGTCCCCATCATCGGCTTCTTCTCCTCGCAATCTCTTGGATTTGCTCAATTGTCAATACAGCAGCTGAATCATCAAAATTTGCATTGACCATTTGGCTCTGAAGCTGTATTTTAAAACAAAACAAAGGCCCTAAATTTGTGTTTCATTGTAGGGAAATAACACAATTTGGGTTGGTAGGTTTACCTCCTCTAGCATTGAAGACTGGTCATCCCAAGGAAACTTGCGCATCTTCTTTAACATCTCAAATTGCTGAAATGACATAATTTTGAACACGACTTTCTAACTTAGTGTGTATCACTAGAATTCTGAACTCATAGGAAAAGACCAGAGAATCAACCTGTTCTTGAAGCTTTTGTTGAGATTGTATTTTCTCAGCAAACTTATCAGGTTCAAGCTTAGCTTCATCACAGGCCATCTCTTCCCTGTAAATTGATGAAGAAAAAAGCTTGAACCATTCGAAAGCTCGAGCACTTTCAGTCACCTACATTCGCAATCTCGTAATCCCATATGGTTCAGTGGGCCATGGTTCACAATACTCCAAGGCAATATCCATTATCCATTGCTTTCTAACAAAGGAGTTGACAGGATCATGGGAACAGAGGGGAGATCCTTGGAGCATTATGAAACATACTCTTAAGGTATTTTCTCTTCTCATATGCCCAATGCCAAAAGCATGCATTACAAGAAAAAAGAGGAGATAAAGAAGTCTATTTGAACAAAACTCTCAAGAGCAACTCTGCACTGGAGGAGTATCTAAAGATATAAATAGTATCGAACTCGCACAATTTGAACATCAAACATATAACAGGTGTAAGGTGGAAAAAATACTTAGAATAAATTCATTATTTCATCAATAATATCCAAACTTTAGTAGATTTTTCTATCTTTGAGAAGGTTATATGCTGGAGATTTTTCTTGAATCCTCCCTATTTATAAACGTTCCTTTTTTTTCTTGTGATGCATCTTTAAATGAATATTGAGCTTCGTCCTACAGATTCATGTCCTTGATTAAGGAAACCAATTACCCCTTTCATAATATTAAATATATATGGAGATCAAAATCACTCAATCATAAGATCAAGAGCATATATTTGGGCATATTTAACAATATAAACCATATATGGTACCACAAAGGAATATGAGGAAACGATCACATATCTAGGCTTCACTTAGAACTTATCAACTATCAAACTATCACTCATCCATTAAGAGAAGATGAAACAAAGATCATACTATCCTTATACACCAGCTTATTTATAGACTAAAATTACTCTTTCCAGGTAGGAGAAAATAGGATACTCCTTTTTCAATTTGGGTGTTCAATGATAGGCCATATATTTAGGCATTAAACCAACAACCAACAGATAATGTCACACACATATCTACAGTTTGCTAATTATTTGGGATCACAAAGGAACAGGACACATGGACCTTTCAAACAACAAAAACAGCAATTCGTACAATTTCCAATAACTTCATGAGTAAAGATTCTCCAATAAGAGATGCCCATCTAAATTAACTTTGCTTCAAGGAGACAAACCTACTTTACAGCAAACCGATAAAACTGGATCATCAAATCACGGTCATTCTGGTAAGTCGCATTTACTTTTCCCAAGCAAGCGATGCCAAACCTAGGATCTGGAATTGAAGGAAATGAAAATAAATGAAAGGCAGCTTATGAGTCAAAATCATCTGCAATTTGATCTGCAATTTGATACAGAAGGACACATATGCAGAGATTCATGCATCTTACGCACACCATATATTTTATAGAAAAACTAGTCTAATGTTATTTTCTTTGGCTAGGCTAGTCTCATATTAGCCACACTATCCACTAAAGATTTCATCAGAGCATTCAGCATAGAAATATTTATAAGTTAAATAGCATAACAGAGCAGATTCATGTATGTCACTTGAGAAGAAGAAAACTGGATCTGTATGCTGAGTACGCACTCTGAAAGGGGGTTTTTCAAAATTTCAGCCATTACATAAAAAAAAAGGTATGAATGTATAAGAATCTTTATCATAGAAAGCGTAGATATGTTGGATTCTCCCCTTAAAAGAATTTAGTGGAACAAAAGAAGCAAGAATACATAGAGCTATCAATTATTTTGAATGCAACATATATGTCAGAAAGAGAGAAAAAAACCAATAACTCGGCTGAGTTTCATCGAGTCATAGTCATGCGGTGTATTTTATAAAAACTCATCCGAGTATTCAGGCTCGGGCCCCAATCACTTGGACAAGGTAGGGTGCCTAGTCCAGAAGAAAAAAACCAATAACTCGGGTGAGTTTCATCGAGTCATAGTCATGCGGTGTATTTTATAAAAACTCATCCGAGTATGTGGCTGACTCAGGCTCAGGGCCCTAGTGAGACCAAGCCCAACTCCTTGCTTTCAAACACCGGTACATCCAATGAACCATATTGTGACATTATTGGATAAGCTCAATGTAGTGTGGAATCAGATTGACTTCCAATAATTATGATACATCAATAAGCTTGGAAAAGGCATATGTAGAGGATTGAATGGATATGACTCCAGTGGTCATAATAAAGAATGAAGGAGAGCATAAGACTCGGGATATTCAATAGAGCATACTCCATTCAGGAAATTTGAAGCTCAGCCGAGTTGAATGATAAAAGTTTCATTCAAAACTTTCAGTTTCATAGGAACATACCAACTCCCATTTAAGTTAACAGTTTTAGAAAAAAAACATACCAACTCCAATTTCCGAAAGAATTTCCTCTTGAATTGCTGTGGTTACCATGACAGCTTCCTGCCAAACAGTTTCAATATCAATATACCTGGAAAGGGGTTCAAAGTTTGTGGCCATCAAATTTATTGAGAGAAGAATGCCTAAAGTTAATGGAAAGCATTTTGGGGTTTAGCCCCTTGATTAATGGCTAGGAAGGAGGTAAGGAGTGATTTACATAAGGGAAAGTATTCAATGCGCACAATGAATTCATCGTAAGAAAAAAAACATCACCCCAGCCATCTGCCGTTGCCGTCTGATGGGTTGGGTTGATGTGTTCTTTTCCCACAATTAATTCAATACGCACAGTGCATGCAACCCTTATATAAACAATAAAGAAACTTCCCAAGGAAACAAACGAATAATATTCGAACAAAGGTAGATGGAAGAAGGTAAGTGAGAGAACCAGAAAGGGACAAAGAGAAATCCCTAACAAAGATTTTCAACCTGAATTCTCGAAGCAATCTAGTCATTTCAAACTAAGTAGTTGGAACTTTGAAGCACAAAACTCATTAGTTCTTCTAGTTGTTTGACAGTAAACATCTCTTAAGAGATTTCGCAAGGATCATTATTTGTTTAGCCTACTGTCTTGCTCTTGTAAAATGTATAACATGTTTTGCATGTTTGACTTGTTGATTTGTGTATAATTGCTTCAGCAAAGGTGTAAAATGGTTACTGGTCTATTATGAATATGTATGATTGCTTCATCATTTCTTACAAATATATGAATGTTAAAGATTGCGCTACAAAATAATAACTGCCTCTCCATATAACCAAAAATTAAGTAGCATTGCTTTTGTAATGGATTATGGGATCAACACCCTTCTTCCCAAATGGTTTATCTGATGGAATTGTAGCATGGCAATTATCAAATGGGATTTGTAGTGTGAAGACTCCTTTCCAAACTTATTTTGATATGAAGACTTACCACAGAACTCTCGTTCCCCAAATGGAATGCCTACTCATTCAAGGACAAGATCAATTTTCTCATTAAGCACTTGGACTTCCTATATTAAAACTCCCAAGCATGATCCATTTGCTTGTAAGGTTATATCACCACTAGGACTTATAATATTAAGGCACAACTCAAAACTACCAAACATGATACCCCCCCCCCCCCCTAATGCCCCTCCTCTAAATGCTCAAATATTTAAAATTTTCCTCTTTTTGTATCTATTTGCTCACCTTTCAACATACCAATAGTACATATATATTTAATCATCATCTCAATTCTATATATTACCACCAAATAGTGAATTCACAAAAATGCATTGAGCTTCTCCCCATACTTAATGACGCAAGCATGTGATGGTCTAATTTGGTTTTCTTTTTAGGGATTTTAATTAAGGGAATTAAGGGTCATATTTTGGGGATTTCTAAGACTTATTATTAACAGTCTTCTGCCTTAAGTTATTAGGTTTTAGTTATTATTGTTCTTTTTATTTTAGTTGTTATTTCTTATTTTATTACGGGTAGAGTCAACCATTTATTCTTAAGTTAAAAATGGTGGTTAAGATTAAAAAGAATGGACGGCTAGAATTTCATTGGAGCTTTCTAGGGTTTTTGAGTTACGTAAATTCTAGAATGTAAAGGGAAGGAGCTCCCTCTTGGAGAAGGTGGTTATCTTGTGAAGAAAGAATTTGTTTTGGGATCTTGCAAAGAGATCTTTGGGGTGGATTCCCTTACATACCCTAAGATAGGAAGCCTAAGAAGTAGTAGTTGTTGATGTGATGAAGCAATTACCAAGAAAGAAGGAAGAAGAGATTGAGGAATTTTGAAGACTAAAAACTTTCAAACTCGAAAGGGGTCACATTGCCAATATTTAGTCAAATGGAAGGGGAGACCGTATTCTGATAGCAAGTGGATTCTCGAGCAAGAGTTCATGAGGTTGAATCAAGATTTAGACCGCCTTTATGTTGAAGCCAACTCACCGGAGTCGAGTTCCTTTCAACCGCAGGGGAATGATGCAGCCATACCCTAGCCAGTAGTTTGTAGTTGGGCAAAGGAGTGTTGAAGGACCCTAGGGGGAAAAGGGGCAATAATGTAATCAGGGGAATTTTTTTTTTAGGAGGTTCGAAGTAGTTCAAGTGGTAGGCTCAAAAAGGGTAAAAGGTAGGGCCAAATGGACATTGTTGGAAGTGGTGAAAAAAGATATGGGGACTTATGGCCTCACTGAGGGTATGGCCTCACTAAAGGTATGGCCTCACTTGGAGAGGAAGCTTGATATCAAGAATATCGTTTTTTGATTCCACGTTCTCTCTCTTTTTCTAATAATTGAAGGGTTAGATCATTGAACTCTTCACTAACCAGGGCTGCTGGAGGTTGATTCAGAACGAGATGAAAGTCACCTCCTTCACCATTGCCTTGATCTCCAACACCGGTTTCCAGATTCCATTCACGCCGAAGCTGAGCGACCTCCTGCATGAGCTCATTTGTTCTCTACTCTCACCTAAGGGCATGAGTTTTTCTACTTTCTCCACTAGGGCTTGAACTACTTGAGTTAATAAATTTAATCCTTCGAGGGGTGCCTCTTTTGAGGCCATCGTAACCCGCTCTGATACAAATTGATGCGAATTAGGGTTGATTCTTCACAAATCAGCACTTTAATTTGCAAAAACTATAATAGATGAGAATCGTTAAAGGGAAGAGAGCAAAGAATGAAGGAAAATTTGCAAAACCAAGAGGAACCCACCTCCCAAAGTTTATTCACCAAAAGTTATCCACAGAAAAAATAACAATTGAACTCCTTAAACCCTTCAATAACAAATACTTAAATAACTCATAACCCTAAAAGCTGCTACGAAATCCTGACCATCCATCCTATTTAATCATAGCCACTCATTATAAACTTAAAAATAAACGACTAAACTTGCTCCCTAATGAAATAAAAAAATAACAATTAAAATAAAAATAAAACTCAAATAATTCCCTAAGTACATTATTGCCCCTTTTCCCCCTAGGTCCTACAACCCTTCTTTGACCAGCCAAAAGACTATTTTGGTCGAGGCATGGCTGCATGCACGGAAGATGAAGGGAAGTTGTGAAAGAAATAATTAAAATAAAAATAATAACAAGGATGATTGAATATATCCTCTCTCAGGGTCTGTGAGGGACCCCAAAGATCTCTTTGATCCCAAAACAAATTCTTTCTTCACAAAATAACCATATGCTTCAGAGGGAGCTCCTTCCCTTTAAATACAAGAATTTAAGTAACTCAAAAACCCTATAAAGCTCCTACAAAATCCCAATCGTTTATTTTATTTAATCCTAATCATCCATTATTAGCTTAAAAAAATAAGCGATTAACTTTACCGTTAACAAAATAAAAAATAACAACTAAAATAAAAATAATAATAATTACCAAACCCTAAAAACCTAAAGTAGAAGACTAGTAGAAATAAACCCTAAAAATCCCCAAAATGTAACCCTTAATTAAAATGCATAAAAAAACCACAAATTAGACCATCTTGTGCCTGTGTCACTTAGTGTATTCAGAATTTGAGATAATTAGAGCACTACAAATATATTAACTGATACAGGTCTCCATGCAAAAAGAAACCATATAATAACTTGAATATCACTTCATTCATGAGAAAGAGATGTCACAAATATTAAAAAATCTAAATGATTTAAATAAAGAAAAAGTTTATATAGAGCCCACCTCAAAAATTTACTAGAAGATGTTGTTTTGATACCCAAATATCCTCAAATTGATCATCCCGACATTAAGATGCATGGTGAGAAAAATATATATTTCAGGTTTTGGAAATAGTGCATCTTGTAACGCATTTTTAGACCATCAATTTTCAAGATTTTCAAGTTTTCATAGATCTACTCAATCTACACTATTTTTGAAGCTTTAAATTTTATAATTAAAGAGTGAAAATATATTTTAAGGCTATCTCAAAGATTTTCAGTATTGAAACCACATTTCTCGATACTATTTGAAGGTGCGCTTTACTTTGATTGTTTAGAGCCTCAGCTCTGTGGGCCCTCGCTTGCAGAACCGGGAATCCCAAAGACCGGGATCCCACCCAAAATCATGTACATGACTGGCTAAATGCTAAGTAGATGAATACAATTATAAATCGAGTGTAAGAAATAAAGCAAACATAAAAATCACACCACCACAACACACGATTTACGTGGTTTACCCCATAGGGCTACATCCACAGCCTCGAAAAGTCGAAATCCACTATCACAATGAAGAGTACAATTTTGGGTTACAAAAGATAATACCTCTCTCTAAACATCAGTAAAAGACTATCACCAATTTTCCCTTCTAAACCCGCTCTCTCAATCGAGCAACACTGTCGATCTCTATCTTCTTTCCCACCGCAAAACTGCTACCAAAAAGATATCCTCGAGAGCAACCGAGATATTTTCTCTCTCTAGAAGTAGAAGTTTTACCAACCCAAAACCCATGGGAATACTACTTCTCTCTCGGAGAACATGTCTCTCTCTTTTGGAGATTTATCTCCATCTTGGAGATCCATTCGAGAGATCATGTCTCTCTCTTGGAGACTTATCTCCATCTTGGAGATCCATTCCCATAACCCCAAAGGGGTGACCCTCAAAAAGGATGAGTATTATGTTTTCCTTGATACCCTATGAAGATCCATTTCCATAACCCCAAAGGGGTGACCCTCAAAAGGATGAATATTATGCTCTCATTGATCCCCTCTTATAGAGATTATTTGAGTTTCGTTCTTGCTTCCCAAGAAACCCCTTCTCTTTCTCCCATAATACCCTTCATCTTTTAGAAGAAAGTATGGGTATGGTAATTTGGTTATCACCAAACCCAACAGGCTCTATACCAACCGCACCCTTTAAATAATTACATCATTTGGATGGAACTGCAAACAATCATATTAAACGAGGACTTCACAAACATAAGCATTGAAATCTAAAATATCAAATTCACAATTAGTTCAAATGAAAATATAAGTAACGAAAGCATATATTGCAATTTCACAAATAGTTCATATCGAAAATACCACATCAATTTTCTCCATTCATATATTGTTTCTTTTCTCTTTTCTTACTTTGTCATAGTCATGTATATTTTTTTCTTAGCTACGGTTTGTATAGAGCTGAGGCTCTAAACAATCAAATTGGAGCCCCCCTTCAAATAGTGTCGGGAACTGTGATTTCAATACTGAAAGTATTTGTGATAGCTTTAAAATCTATTTTCATATTTAATTATAAATTTTAAAGCTTCAAAAAATAGTGTAGATATCTTGAAAATTGACATCCAAAAATGTGATACAAGATGCACTATTTCCAAAACTTGAAATCCATTTTTTTCTTATGTCCGTTCATCTTGATGCCGAGTGATTTGATGATATTTGTGCATCAAAACAACCTCTTCTAGGGAAATTTTTGAGGTAGGCTCCAGTTTGATTGTTTAGAGCCTCGGCTCTATATAAACTTTTCCTATTTGTGTTAGATTTCAAATGATTTTAGTGGAATTGAGCTAAAGGTCTTATCTTTTCTTCAATCAGTTATACTAAAAGCTGTGTAAATTAGGCAATAATTTTTTTGACACATTTTACCCATGTTTCCATAAAGAAATCTTCATCCATTCATTCCACTGGAGAGAAGGAATACAAACAAGAGGAATCAAAGAAATTTCACGTATATGAGAGCGACAGAGAGAGATTTGCAAAGCATAGCAAGCCTGAAATACTTGCAATTTTATATCAAATAGAGAGGGAAGAAAAAGGAGACTCACCTCTTTATCGTTTACAGCATCTTTAATTCGTTTCTTCACTTCTGAAGAATAAACAAAAAGAGAGAGGGAGTAAATGCAAGCTACCAAATAAGAAATTCAGTATTACATGAGAGCAAAATATGAAGCTGCCAAGGTTGTAATAGAGAGAGATATTAAAACTGCTAAAAAAAATTTAGGTATTTCAATTAGAGAAATGGATCTGAATAACGAATTGCACCAGGAGTGGAGGTAACGTAGGAGAAACGATTGAAGAGTTGAAGAAGCTGATCTCTACTGAGCATTCCGGAGCTTTGAAGGCCACTATGTTTATTATTATTACCGGCCTTGCCCCAAGAACTCTCTGAAACCAATTGTGGAGAAGCCATGGCCTCTGCTTTTTCACTGATATTTGGCCTTTCGCATCTCAGCAGAAACCTAAATTGAACCATAGAGGGCTGCGACAGAGAGTAGAGAAGTAGAGATATTTCGACGTGCAAATCCTGTTTTATTTTCAATATTTAAAAATGCCGGATTACTTTGTGCAAGTGCTTGGCGGTAATACGACTACTTATTTTTTTGTCAAAAGGGGTTTTTGGGTGAGGTTTATGAAAATGAGATTTTTTTTAGATCGAAAAAAATTAAGGTACATTAACGACAATTTCGAAAGATATATGATGAAACCATATACCTTTTGTACTTATCATAATTAATTTTTACCTGTGAAATTGGGTGACTATATTTATTTTATTGATCAAGCTCAAAGTTTAAAAAAATAAATTTCAAATTTTGTGATATACCCAAGCCATCAGATTTCACATCGAATGATTATAAATAATTGTGTCATCCCTATACTAAAAATAAATTATCTCATTGTATACAATCCCTATAGAAAAAAATTACATAAGGTGGATACCTTATAATAGAATTAAGGTGCACCTGTAAAATTCATCAAAAAAAAAATATTGTTTTGACATTGGAAAAATATCTAATTGATCATCTCGATATCCAAATATATAGATATGAAGAAGAAAAGACATTTCAGCCCTAAAAATATTACATTTTACAATATATTATTTATATTTTCATGTATTTATTAATGTGCTTGATCTGAACTATTTTTGGAGTTTAAAATTTATGACATAGATAAAATTAGATTCTTGCACCATCTTAAGAATTTTCGACACAAAAATTGTATCTCATAACGAAGTTTGAAGGTGCATCTGAATTTGATTATTTAATGTTGCAATCTTATACAAACTATACCCATTTGATGTTTTACTATCACATCCCAATTTTTAAAAATATAGCATATTTTTATTTTGGGATTGTATACTATAAGGCCATTTATGTTTTTGTAGAAAGATATCACAATCATTCTTAGCTATTGGATGTGAAATCCAAGTAATTAAAATATGCCATAATATTCAAGAAATTTTGTTATGGACATTGTGCCTAGTTAATGACACATCTTGAACCACTCGATTTTACATCTAATGGTTAACAAATGGTTGTGACCTCTTTCTAATAAAAGTAAATAATCTTATTGTATATTTTTATTTTTATTTTCATTTCAGTTCCTGTCATCAAATTAAGCTCAAAATTAGTATCTCCACACGTTTGATCATTATATGCTTAAAAACGCTTAAAACATAATTTAAAATAAAGAAAATTATTAAAGAACTCTATACAATGAGATCATTTACCTTTGGTACTGGAAAATCATAATTACCTACAACCATCCGATGTAAAGTCACAATTAGCTTGGGTGTGTCACAAAGTTCGAGAAAATTTCTTTTGAACTTTGAAAAACCACCCAACTTCACATCCAATGATCAAGATTAATTGTGACCACTTTGTTTCAAAAGTAAATGGTATCATTAAATGGGCTCTCGGTCTATCGGATGATAATGATTTGAGTTAAAAAAATGACATCTATGTAATGAAGGAAAATTTCAAGTATTTTTGTAATAACAAAAAATAGTATTTATGTAATTTTCTCTTTTATCTTTTGTACATAGAGCTTGCAATCATTTTTGTTCTTTAAATTTCAAAATAGGTGGTTGTCAGAGTAGCATTGAATAAACACAAAGTTTCAAAAATAAAAAATTTTGAACTTCGTAACTTATCTCAAGCCTTCCAATTTCAGATTTAATGAATGAGAATGATTATGACCTCAACGTACAAAAAATAAATAGTCTCTTCGTAAACTATCCCTTATTCTAGATGTCTAAAAGTTTGATTTTAGTACTCACTTTTAGGTTGGTAATGGCAAAACAAATTATGGAGATTGCCAAAAAGATGTGAGCCAAAGGCAATTTTGGCTTGAATGTTGAGTAAATTGCCCAGTCTTTTTAAGAAGGAAAAAATTTCATAGGTGGCCTAAGCATGACCATCGTTGTTTCAAAAACCAAATTGATTAGGAGTACTGGTCTTCTAAAACTCTGATAAATTGGAGTGATTCGGTCTTAAAATTACTTAATAATAATTTTAATTTTGATAATAAAAACTGAAAACAATTAATAATCTTAACCACAAGAACAATTTTAATTCCTAGCACTGGTAAATTGATAACGTGACAACTGCAAAGGTAAGTAAATGGATTTCAAGTATTTAAAATTAGTATATCTTATAACACATTATTTAAAGGAAAAAGTTTGTATAAGGTTGAAACTTCAAAATGTAGAATTGATGTGCACCTCTAAATCATTCGAAAAAGATTACTTCAATGTTGTAAAAATATCTAATTGATCATCTCAACATCAAAATGTATTGATACGGAGACAAGAAGATATTTCAATTCCTAAAAAAGTACATCTTGCAACACATGATCTGGACCATCCATTTTCAAACTTTTTATGCACTTATAGATCTGCTTGATTTGAACCATTTTTAGAGTTTAAAATTTTATAATTAGAGATATAGATTGTAGTACCATCCCAAGAATTGCTTACGACAAAATTGCATCTCATGACAGAGTTTGGAGGTGCACGTTAATTTAATTTTTTAAGGTTGCAACATTATGCAAATCACACCTGCTTATTTTCAAGTATTTATGAACCTTTACTTTTCTAGTTTTAAATTTTATAATTAGAATAAAAATTAAATTTTCAAGCCACAATAGGGTTCTGAATATCAAAAGCACATTCCCCGTCAAAGTTTTGAAATGCAACTTTGCTTTTTAACCTAAAGCCTGAACATTATAAGAAGGAAATATATCTGTGAGACCATTTTACTTTTGATATAAAGAAGTCACACTCATCATTGACAGTTAGAATTGAAATCGGGTGGTTAATGATATGTCATTGTTTGGGAACAAAGTCCTTAATAAAATTGAATAAGTGAACGAGTTTTCATTTTACAGATTCTTTTCATAAAATGAATTGGGTTTTGCTTGTTTTTTGTATTTTACAAATTGGTTTTTACATTTTTTGTATGCCATAAATTGCTTTTTGTTGGTTTTAGGTTTCTCATGTTTTGTTATGCTATACAGGAAGTAGCAATTATTCGGATACTGGATGGGATCGCTATTGAATTAAAGGGTGCAAGTGCTATGAACTTCAATCATAAATTTTGGAGTATCATTTAAAACAAAACTTTTAAGGTTCCATTGATTGTCATTGTGTCAATTTCTTTACATATTAAGGTACAGGCCTTCTGGGTTTTATTTGTAATGGTTCTCAACTGTGTTGTTAAATTTTCTTGCTAGCCTGATAATTGCAAAACGAAAGCTTATGCTTTTTCTTGAACAGATGTTCATAGGGCTGCAAGTGGTGTCCATGTGAATGGTAAGGATTAGATAGGCAGGATCAAGATTTAGTTGAAATGCTCGAGTTTCACACTAGAATTTTTTAGAGAACACGATTGTTTACTGTTGTTCTATTTTATCACTAGTTATGGGTTTTGTGAAATATTGTTTTAGCCATATTGACCATTTTTTCCTGTTATGTACTAAGGTTTTATCGTTTTGGTATCTTAATCAATTTTCTGGGTATTGAGCAGTTCTTCTCCTGGCCTGATGATGATGAGTGCTCTTAGATAGTGGAGACTGAAGGCACTTTTTGTTGAGCCTATTGTCCAATGGGCTCCAAAAATTTGTCACGGTGAAGAGAGGGTATAGGGTTTACAAGCGCTTGAGATTCAATTGATATCCTTTCATTTCTTTGATTTTTTATCAACATGGTTTGGGTGAATTTTTTGTGCAACTTATTATGTTCAATATTTTCTTCTTTGAAAATATGTTTGTGCAAACCTGATCATTTAGAATGAAGAATAGTTAAGTTCCATGGAACTGACAATATCATTTATGCATGTTAGTAACTACAATTATCGGAATTCATTATATATAAATTAAGTCTTTGGGCCCTTGGTTGCACTTAATTAAAATCTTATACATGTTAATTTTACTTTGGGTCATGCACCTATTATCTTCGTAAGTATTGTATTGCCACGGTTGTTTTATTGACTGGTTAACCTTTATCTGGTTAACCTTCTTCAAAAAAAATAAAACTTTACATTGGCTGATCTACTTTTGTAGTCATACAATAGATACAATGGCAGATTCAAACCCAGAGGCTATCTGGGAGGGCCAGAGGACGACTCTGTCATGTATGACCAAGAGAATCGCATATACAGTTACATAATAGTTTCTTTTAATTTTTTAGATAATCGAATACATACTAGTTGTTCATTGATATTAAATTATATTGTTCTCACTTGCTTTTTCTTTCGAATTTCAAGAGAGAAAGAGTCATATGTCTTGATTAGATGACATTCTCCAGTCTTAAATGGGTTCATAATGCATGGAAAAAGGCATTAGTGAAGAGAACTAGATTGGGCTCATTGATGGATATCCATGGGGGGAAAATTGCTCACTGCTTGGCGATGGCTATCATAGAAAAGTGGCACAAAGAATTAAATACCACCACAAAACCTTCCTGTAGGTGAGATGGTGCTGCCATGCCATTATATGACATGTGGGGGATATTGCAAATAACTGTGAGAAGCAAGCCTATCATAAGACTTAAGCCTCAGGACTATAGGGCCTTCATCATTGAATATCTGGGAGATGCCTCTGAGACCATCAAATTGGCATTCTGAGGTTTATTTAGTTGAGGACAGGTTTGGGCAAGTCCCTGTACACTGCAACCCTGAAGATCTAGTGTATCACACCTATGCCTACTTCACCTTATTGGTACAACTATATTTGCCAACTCTTCAAAGGGATCAGTTCCAGTGGCATACCTATAGTTGGTTACGGTCTTTGATGAGGCGAGGACATATGTATGGGGTGTTGTGGCCCATGCGTATCCATGTCGGTCACTGTCGTTAATGAGAAAACGGCAAATTTCAGTGGCTCAGAAACCTTGCTTATGGTAATTATTATGCTTATAGTATTACTTAATTCAAACATTTGAAGTGTCTTACAAAACCTGTATTACCTTTTGGTGCCATGTTGGGGGTATGAGTACTTCATAACCCTAAGCCTCAAGCCTTCTAAAATTCACTTGAGTTTGCCAAATGCCCATAGGTGGGAGAAACCTAAGGAGTTTGAGAAGCCCCACAACTTGCTAAAAATATTATCACCAAGAACTTGATAACCTCACACTCAACTTGGTAAACGGTGTGCAAGTAAATCTAAATTTTAATTACATACCATATATACACAAGTTAAGTTGTTGTCTGTCATTTCTTCTGACATCAAGTGGGTTGGGTGCCATACAATGATAAGGATCATCATGAGTGCTATGCCACACTTGACTTTGTTTCTCTGAAGACCACATTATGCCGGACAGACTGATTTTCTTCAATATAGCAGAGTTCTACATGCCGAAGCGCATGCTCCAACAGTTTGTCCTGGTGCAAGGGATTTCTGAGGACACCCCACAGTGGAATAGAAAGGACAGGTTTGGGAGGCTACCAGTCTGTTGGTGGATGGGTTGAGAACAGAGATTGAGGCATGGAAACAACAACAAAAGGGGTTAGTTGAAAACTTGATGGTGGATGTGAATGCTGGTGTGCCTTCAAGGGAATACATATCATGTTGTATGCCGAGGAGTAGGCTGCACATTTATAACATTATACCTCCATACTCATGTAGATTTAAGCCAAGAGGTTATGACCGCCACATAATGATAGTAAGTTATTTAAGTAATCCACTAGTTTGTCATTTTAATTTCTGACGCATGATTCTGTAAGTCTTTCATAAATTACAATTCATCACTTATGCCTTTTTTTCTGGGCATTACAGTGGTGAGATATAAGTTCCAGCAGAGTTTTGCTAGGACTAGTGCTCCAGTCTCCAAGATTGATAGAGATGACCGAACACATGCACTCAAGGCTTATGATCTGCTATCAAGGTACATTCCTCCTAATATAGGTAAGGAATGCGATATGGAGGACAAAAGCAAGGAAGAGGGTGGGGAGGACAATGTCGAGGAGGGCGGTGATGGAGGTGGAGAGGACGGACTTTTGTGTGTACATAATGTGCCATATGTGGTTTAATTTTTGTGTATGCATTGGGACTTTGCCTTTTCGTAATGATATTCAGTGAGTAATACCTCTTTCTTTTCCCTGTTCTTTGCTGAAGAGGATGCTTTATGTGAAATTCAGGATCAAACTAAAGTTCTGACTCCAATATTTGCTTGCTCTGAGAATGTGTAGCTTGTTATCCTGATATATCAAATGGTTTCTCCTCATTACTCCAAACTTTCAATCAGGAATGATCTTAATAAAGCAAAACTGGGCACAACATGAATGACATTCTTTAACTTGCATGCTTTGAGAAGAGTGGCAGCAGTTTCAGCTAGGGCAATGGGGCCAAGTTGAAACTGGTTCAACCGAGGCCTAATTTTATCCTCTATGGGTCAAATTGGGCTTATGGCTTGACTACTATGAAGTAGAAGGATAGTTTGACCTTTGAAGTGTCTAATTAGATTAGTTCGACCTTTGAAGGTCGAATTGATTGGTGATCTAAGAAAGCACAAACTGAGTTGGACAATCACTAAGGAGTTTGACCCTTTAAGGCTCCAATTCACTTGACAATTTTAATAAACGGAAAATATCTACATATCCCCTCATTTTTAAGGCTTTTTATCTCAATAGACCTAAGGTTTCAAAACATATCTTGAGTCATAAAAATTTTAAGTTTTATATCTTTTAACCCTTTAAGCTAACTTTATCCCCTTTAAACCTATTTTTTGCCTCAAACAAATGTAAGAAAGATATATCCTTTACAAATATCATATTTTCTCTCTCTTCATATGATTTTCTCCTAAATCTCTCTCTACCTATGTTCCCACTCTCTCCCTTGTGTCTCTCTCTCTCTCCACTGTTAAAGAGACTAAGAGTGAATATTAGAGAGAGAGAATTTTGGGGGAATATATCACCTAAAGAAAAAAAGAATTTAAAATGAGCATGTCTTTTTCATATTTGTTAGGGCTAAAAAGTAATTAAAAGTGGTTAAAATTAGTCACGAGATTAAAAGATATATTTTGAATTTTTAGATCTATTGAGATATGAAAACCAAAAATAGGGGGTACAATGATATTTTCCCTTTAATAAAAGCCCTAAGAGAGTTTGACCCTTTAAGAATTAGACTAACTTATAAGAACCCGTGTTATTCGACTCTTGAAGGGTCAAACTACTTAATGGTCTTTCTTAATTGCACAAAAAAAAAAAAGTGCAGCAAAAATAAAGCATTTTTGAGCCATTGTCAGCTCAATAGTTAAACCAAGGGTAATCTTGTAAAGAAAAAAGGGTAAAAAAAGAGGGATGGAGTTTCTATAGGGCCTAAAAACAAAAGAAAACCTCACTCAAATAACCATTTGGAAAGCAGTTTGGGCATCCAAAATATCCATGATGGCTTTAGAATTCTGTTAAGATGGTTGAAATGTGTTATTTTAAAATCATATTAATTTTTATTTTATTTTGAGTAATTTAGTGAGATTGTAATTGTAATTTTGTGCAATTTTATTTTTGACTAATTTATCTTGATTTTTCTTCTTCTATCTCTTTGGTAATGAGTCTTAGGCTAATATGATATTGTTAAACTAATTGAAAACTGGATTGTTCTAATATTGTGGTATTTGTCTTTCTCCACAATATCAAAGTCACAAGGGTGGTGGTAATATTGTCTTAACTCCCTGAAGAAGATTGATTGCCATTTTGAAGATAGATTCACGTGGAAAATCAAATTGTTTTGGTGTAAAGTTAGAAACTCAATATACAGTGGATCTTTCTATCTCTCCATTCTTCTTAAAGATCAAGAATTTTTGTTTAGAGATCTCTCATTGATCCGAAAGAATTTATTTCGGATGCATGAATAAATTCTTTCGGATGCATGAATAAAATCTTTCGGATGCATGAATAAAATAACGCATCATTCGTGAGTTAAAGAAACAGTATCTATGTTACTTCTATTCAAGAGTGGGATACACAACCATCTTTGGTGGAGTTTGAAAATCCCCACAGTAGCTTATAAAATGGTAAGATTTTTTATTTGGGGAAGTGATAGAGATATTTGTATTGCACTTAAGAGTTAATCATTGGTTTCTTTTCTAGAAAATTACTCTAAGGGGAGCGTTAAGATGGTTGAAGTGTATTTTCTAGAAATCATATTAATTTTTATTTTATTTTATTTTAGGTGATATGATGAAGTTGTATTTGTAATTTTGTATAATAATAAGTTATAAAACTACTAGATCATTAGTAGCTATTGTTGCAAATAAATAATTATAGTTGTAAATATAGTTGTAAGAATCTCTATTTAGAGAGGTGTATTGTAGAAAAACTGGATTTCATTATCATGGCATGTCTCTCTACAATTTTCAATACCAACTATAAAATTTGAAGCTAAACAAAGTTACAAATCTTAAAGATCCATGAACACTAATTTTTAAGATAAAATGAAAAATCTAGATAATATAGTATTTTATATACTATTTTTAGGACTTGAAATCCTAATCTTTTTTCACAAATCTAATGATCAAGGATTAGATGATTGATTTGAAGGTTTTCCAACAAATTACAACTTTAAGTAAGTTTTGAAATGAGGCTTTCCCTATCAAAACATTTTCCAAAATAGAGACCTCTTTATAAAATTAAAGAATTTTGGGACTATTTTTTAAGAACATTTTTCAATATCAGAAAATGGAGCCATAAGAAAATTTCCCTAAATCCATTTGCAGAGGCAACCTTTCCAAAAACTATCCAACTACGAAAGCGATAGCAATTCAAACATGCATCAAAGTCACCCACCTCCCTTGTTTTCCAAAATTTTAAAAGGCTTCACCTCTCTCTCTCTCTCTCTCTCTCTCTCTCTCTCTCTCTCCTCTCTACTACTACTACTACTACTACTCTACTACTACTACTACTACTACGTACTAACGTACTACTACGTACGTACGTACGTACTACGTACGTAC